TGTTTTAAATTATTCTACAATATTATACCATAAAATAATTAGCTCGTGGTTCAATACAACCAATAAATTAAATACAATATCTTTAAGACAGTTGAATAGGCCTCTAAAATTGTTTAAAACTAACATTTTTGTGTACGAAATTAGTTATCTACGTGGTTGTTATTGAAGAAAATAAGATCTACATTGTTATCGAGTTGTGAGAAAGCGGTATCACCTCTACTTGAGGGTCGTGAGTTGGTCGTAAACCGGACGTCGAATGGGTAAGTTGCACCTAAAACTTCATTCATTTCGGTTAATGACAAATGCATACTTTTCTGTGCGCCATTGCCTATATCGTTTAACTTATTATATAATTGTATTGTTTTACTCCATCAAAACAATTAAATTATACTATTATAGGAATTTTAAAATTATTTAAACTATATTTTCCTTTTATTTATATTTTAGTGTTTTTGTAAAAAATTTTTAATTCCTTTTTTTTACCCAAATTGCACAGCTTTTATAATTATTTAAGAATAAAGAGACCACAACTCAACTTCAGTCATTATTATAGTGCTGATAACTTCAAAATACTAACTATTCGCTCTGTATAATTATACACCTGTAATGCTTATCTTAAACATGCCATAAAAATACAAATTTTTGAGTCTCACAAGGTATTTGTTTTCTTTTTTTTTGTTATCATCCCTCGAAGTATTACCATATAAAATTGCCAAATATTGAAGATATCTTAAGATGTTGTACAATTCATATTAGCGCCCGGATTTATATTCATTTATAAATTTTGTTTAGTTATTCCAAACACGCCATTAGTCAGTATAAACTTTTATTAGTTGATTATAGAAATTAATAATGCGTTGTTACCGAGGTTACATTATTGGAGATATTAGGATTGTGTAATATATTTCTACGGTACTACGTATGTATAATCCTAAGACGAATTTGCACAAACTTGGGACCCTTCAAAGTCGCTTATACAATATTTATAAATGAATATTATTCTTCATTATTTCACTTGATAGTTTTTTTTCGAAAAAACCCACTACCCACTGAGCTTTTTTTTAAAAAAAAACTATTTTTTTTAACAACCCTGGTAATATTACACATAGGGCTTTTTTAAAAATAATTAAGAACTTAGTTATAAACTACTAAATAATTGTTTTAGTGGACTTTTATTTAGGCTCAGCATAAAATAAAATGTATCCGATGCATTGTAAGTCAATAAGTCTAAATATTCCATCGATCTGTTAAAATGTTTTATAATAAAATTGTCAAAAACAGGATATTTTAAAATGTTGAAAAATTAAAAAAAATTTTATTTTTATTTTATAAAAATAATAATTAAATAATATTAAAAATAATCAAAAGTATAATGTTATCCTAGTTTGTGATGTATGTAAAATATTTTTATATCATAGTTACCTGAATAGTTGACCAAATATTGAAGCTCAAAATAATATAATTGTAAGTATTTAGTTAAATAAGTAAATTTCGTTATATATGAACGTTTTATATATTCTTGTCTTTCAAAGTAAATTTATCTTACAAAATTCTATGAATCAAAAATATAATTCTTTAAATACAAAGCGATAATAAAATTTTAAATTCATATTTCTTTTTATCGTCTTTTATTAACATTATTATTATTACGTCATTAGTACATACAGATGTTCGGTTTATCATGAACCACTTGTTTAAAAAAAAAACTCTCGTTTTCCAACAGCATGCAGCAAGATGATTTTTCAAAACGGTTGTTAGAAATGGACCCTCTATATGGTTTAAAGTATGTGAAAGATAAGCATGTTATCATGGGCAATACTATGGTTAAAATAACCGATGATTTATAACTATTTAAGTTGAAGTTCCACGACCACATAATTATAGGTCTTATCAACTTTTATTCAAAAGTAAACTTGCAGTTGGAACATTCCATTATTTTGATCAATCGGATTTAAAAGTTTACTACTTTACACTTATGTCAAGTTCGTACACGATAGGTTTTGTAGTACGAATTTTTGCGGTTGTATAGAATTCTGATGTCTAATTCTGTATATATCCTTTTGAAAATATTGCTTTATGCTTACTCAGATGAACTTTATCTCAAATATTGTACTTTTTATTGTATTTTAAATTACGTAGCAGTTTAAAGCTGACATTTCCAGGATCATGGTATGCTATATTAAGAATTGATTCTATGGCTCTATGTTTTCTATTATTGTAATTTGTTATTAAATCCGCTATAATGTTTATCCAATTGTATGATGAAGGTAAATTTTTTCCACCATTTTTCTTTTAGCGTTCTATTAAATTGTTCCACAACATCCGCTTTCATTGTAGAGTAGGTTGAATAATGGTTTATATTTTTCTTCTTCATGAGCGATTGAAAATTTTTGTAAGTTCTTTGGATATCTATTGATCGAAACATTTTTAAAAGCAGACATTACCTCTGAACCAAATTTATTTCTTAAAGGCACAGCCCATGCATATTTTGTATAAACATCGATAATCATTAAAATAAATGTAAAATATTTATTTGTTGTCAAATATTTTTTCATGTATACTAAATCTGCTTACCACACGTCATCTTTCTGTAATATTATATTATTACTTATAATATTAACATATAATATTATGTTATCATTTGTACATATATGTCACATTATATGAATATACAAGATCACCAAAACAGGGTTCTCTCATTTAAATTACAAAATGACCAGTTAATTATGGGATAAAATCTACTTATTGTAAAGATTATTAAGTAACACGCAGGGCATTCATTTTAATTAACCAATTAGAATTAAAAGCCTCAGCTTCCAAGATCACCCTAGGGATCGCTAGAATAATATTGTTATATTTAGAATTAAAAATAAACTGATCCTACAGTTTATACTTAACACGGTGTTCGTGTGTTTCCCTTATACTGTGTCACCATCTACTACCATCTAGCGACTAAGGAGCGTTTTACGTTCACGTAAGTGGGGTGTTCGGTGTGATATAAAGGACAGAACCAGCGGATCGAAGGCAGTGTGCTAGAAGAAGTTGACTAACAACCTCACAGCAATTGTATGCTCGTATTTGTTTTGTTGTGAATAAACTGCAAGGAAGTCTACAAATCTTATCTTGTCATCAGTGATCTACGGTAGCCACATGGACCTTTTGGTTGGCCGTACAACCCAACTAAGGAGTTAGGAGTGAGCGGTATTAACGAATTTCCGGTGGCCATGAACACAGCGGATGGTTAAATGCCCACTGTAGTTAGAGATACACCAATACTATCCATCGGTCATTGACATATGTAATGATCACATTGCATAACCTTTTATATGTTTATTTTCATATTTAATTGGCAATCGAAACATCTTTGTAATTCAAAGGAGACTCTAAGAAAACAAGAGATATTTTAAAAATTGAAATGATAACAAATCTCGAATTAGCGAATGAAATTTCATTATTAATATCAATATGATATTATTGTCGACGGCTGTCAGCGATAATGTACCTCATTCATCGGATAACAATATATTATTAAGATTTTGAAAAGTTCATAATAATGTTACAAAATATATCGGTTTCACCTGTGAAACTTCCTTCTCAAAAATAATAATCTAACGCGTTAATTTTTAATTTATTAAATTTTATTATACATACTGTAAATATTTATAATTAAAGTAATAAATTGAAAAATAATACACTCATATATAATGATCATTATTAAATTTTGATTTGAAAATAATAATTATGACTGATGTCAAAAATCGTTAAAAACATTTCTAATACATTAAAAAAATTGATAGATGGAAGTTCGGATACCATAAATTTCCCTAGGAATTCATTGAGTTCTATCACTAGTTCCCAAATTTTGATTTAAAGTTGAATCATCTGTCACCAAATATGTGTAATAAACAACACAACAATGCATTATAAAAGGATTTTCGTTGTATGAAAAATGGTAGTAATTAAAACCAAGAATGCCGACATAAGGAGTAAGTTCACCAGAAACAATTTTAGTTATTTTTTCGATTGTACATTTTTGAAATTCTTTTAAGTAATCATTTGGTACTGTCTCGTAATGATCTAAAACATAATAAAGCTATTAGCTAATTCATTTATATTGAAAAGTCAGTGTTTAAAGTTTAATTACTCATATCTGATGATTTATTTATTCCATACTTATTTTTACAGTCTTGCAGAATTTTACATGCTTGATAAATACGCGATCGTAGCACTGATTCCAAATCGTCACTATTCTCATACTAAAGGCGTTTTTTATAATTAAGAAGACATATTAAAAAGACCAATACAATGTAAATATTTATATCGTAATTTGATGAATATGTGGTATGAATGAGAAAACTGATAATATTAAATTCCTACGGGTATGTGAGTAAAATTGTAAACCTTAAATCTTTACTACGCTTTTTTTGCTTATAAAATTAATTTAAATTTAATAATATAACAAAAAAGATGTATTAGCGAATCAATATAAAATAAATGTCTTTATAGTTGTCATATTTTTATATTGTAATTTAGCGAAATCTTTTGGAATAATAACAAATTTAAATGAATTACAGTTAAGTTAAAATGGACTTATAATTTTATATTGATAAATAATATAATTTTATGATTCAGAAAAAAAATCACAAAATGTTTTTTTTAATTATAATTAACTAGATATTTTTACTTTAATAATTATTTATGTAAAAATATCTTGATGAAATAATATGAAGTATACATTTATATTCTTGTCAATTTGCAAGATAATGAATTTCTAAAATGTAATTTTTTTTTTTTGAATTGTTAGAAATACCTAAAAACATTTAAATATTATAAATATTAAAATTTTATTTTGTACCTTGGGTTTTTTTATTGCAAACAAATTTGACTGGAATATTTTAAAACATTCATTTAACTTATCTTTAATAATAAATTTATCTAATTTAAAAAATTCAATAAATTCTTGACTCATTTCTTCTGGATAAATTCGACGGGAAATGATATTATCACTCAATGTATTTAAAAATGTATTAATTTCGTCTGTAAAATTACAAATTAATATTGATAAATAAATTATACATCTGAATAATGCATTTAAAAATTAATAATGTTGTGACTGGATTGGTACGGTAGACAAAATGAAGAGATAATGCGTATAAATATTAATTGCTATTTATTATATTTATACATATATTTACACTTATAATTGACTTTATGACTCAAACGAAATAATAATCAATACTATAATAGCAAAATGCATTAAAATAGACTCAGCATCGAATGTTCTAGAAGGACTAGATACTTGCCTAGTTGATTCTTTATACACAAGACAAAGGGACTTCCGTTCTCACGATTAATATATAGTATATATTATATACTATTAAATTACACAATTACAATTAGGCAGCAAAAAGGCAGTTCACAAAAATACTATTTAAAATAAATAAATGCAACTATAAAATACAAAAATTACATAAAAATAAAAGTGATGCTAAATAAATTGACTTTTTTCGTTTATTTTTATTTTGGCAGAAGAATTTAGTTGATCATAAAACAATGTCATTCGATAATATAGAAAAAGAGTACTTGGTGGCTAAATGATATTTTTTTAAATAAAAAATTATTATAATTATTCATAAATTTATTCAAGTAAAATTAACACATTTATATAATAATTATGGTTAGTTTTTTTTTAATATAACAATACTAGAGTACTATTTTCATGATGCTTCCAATTTTTTACTATATTTATTAGAATAATTGACATATTTTACAAAACTAATTAGGTTATAATGTTGCAAAGATGTTTGGAATTTGTATTAGGCTTTTATTAAGGCTTTGAAATGAATTTTAGGATTATTTGTAATTTTTTTTTTTTTGTAAAATTATAGTGGCTCAATTGATATTATTGCCAATTAAAAAAAATAATCTTTATTTATTAATTTGATGAACTACGTATATTGAATTATTTTTAGTACATAAGAATTTCAATGTTATTGTAATGTCTTACCATTATTTATCTGTTCAAAATCATTTATGTTTAAATTAGCCATGCAATTTTGGAATTTAAATTGTGCATGTGGTAAATTAGTGGATGACAAATAACTTATAACTTGATCAAATGTAATTACTGCTAATGCTGGATATATTAATCCCTATAAAAAAAGACAGTACAGCATGGATCATGGACAATCGAATCGATATTGTTTAAAATTTAACAGTGGTTAATATTACTATCACAAAAAGCTTGAAAAGGAATGTGCTCAAAGATATTATAGTAGATTTTTTTTTTTTGAGGATTTATTTTTTTTGAGTTGAGCCTCCTATATACGTTTGTTACTTCTTAGTAAAAAAATTTCATAACATTAAGAGATTTTTTTTTTAATCATAAGGTTATTTTTTAAAAGCTTTGATTTGATACAGGTCTTATATAATCAGTGGTTCTAAAACATTATCATAAATTTAAAAACTGTAGCACAATGGGGTCGCGGTACAGTATTGCCGTGGCATAGTTGGGACAAGTATAGATGATATCTGACAATAATCAAAATCACTATCATAAGAAACGCTTCGATGCAAATCTGTAGATAGTGTTTAATTCTAAGAAATTGGTGGATAATTACAAAACCAACAATAACTCCTATTTCCTTATTTATATACTGATTAGTTGTTCTATGATTTAAAAGTATAGTATATGAATAAATACAAATTATAGTAATTAAATATAGTATGAAATTAATATTCAATAATTTAATATTGTAGTTTTTACGGAGATATTATAAAAATTATAAAGTAATTGTATATTTATTTACTTTTACTGCGTATAAAAATTAAAAAGGCTTAATGAAATACTTTTCAATAAAAAATGTTTGTTACATATGAATAAATACACTGAACTACAAGGAATTTTCACCAGAAGCAAAAATATACTTTTCTAAATCAACTTTTCGCGCTGTTTTCAAATCTAAAATTAGACTTTTTTTATCACTTCTAAGTTTTGATATTATTACAAATTACATATAAAGTAATAACTAAAATAAAAAATTTGTTTTTAAATTATTACCGGTTTGGATTTGTAATATGTTATAAATAATCAGTACAAAATGACATCTTTAACCAATTGTTTTGGTCCATTAAAGTTGATTTTTGTGAAAGTTTATAATAAAAAAAAAGTTGAATTTGTTACCATAACATTTAACTTAACTTGCAAGTTTGAAATTGACATCATTAAATAGGAAATTTTATGAGAATTAAAAAGATATTATTAGGTATTAGGTATGGTTAAGATAAATATGCAGTCAGGACTTTTTGCAATTACTATTTAGAGTAAATTTATCAGAAAAGCTCATTATTGTTTTCCATTTTTACTGTAATCGATCACTTAAATGTAAATCATAGTAATCATTTCTATGTAACTTTTGGTGTTTAAAAAGATTATACAATTGAAATATGTAGCGTTGAATTAATTTTAATGATCAACTTTAACTTAAAAAACCAATTAAAATGTTGTTAAAAAAATCTAATTAATTGAGCATATTATAAAATTTCATTATAATTGTAAAAATCGATTATTACATTCTGGTGAAATTAAAAACCATTTTTTTAGAAATGATTTATATAGAATTATGTTACAACAAAATTTGGAATATTATATACTGGTAGTAGCACACACAAATAGAGTTAAAAAATTAATAAATTTCTAAGTAAATTATATAATTATATAATTATTTAATTTTGTAGTAGAAATCTATTATTATATCAAACCTAATTTGCCAATGAATACTTTAAAAATATTATAAACTAATGATTTTAATTGTCTGTATGGAGATAGCTGGTAGAGCAATTTTGATATTTGATAAAAGGGATTTTTTTTCAACATTGGAGGGTAATATCTTTAGCTAGATAATAGTTGTGATAATTTGACGTATCGCTAAAAAAATTGGTCAAATGATAGCTGAGAAAATAAATGATAATCACAAAAAAAAAAAACCACATAGTAAAATAATTTTTATATGAATAAGAAATTTCTACTTTGCCATGGGCGGGTTTGAACTAAGTTCTCAAGCGTGAAAGACACAAATGTTACTAACTCGGAAACCGTACGTTGCTATTGTTTGGTGGATAAAAATTAGCGATTCAAGCTAGTTCGAAGTTATTTTTCTCGAATTAAAAATAGTAAATATAATTAAATAAGTTTATCTTTCTATGCTATGTCAATTAGATTAATATAATTGTTCGCGCCAAGTGTGAGAGCTGCACTGGTTGGGAGTGGTCAGCTGATAGTGTTTGTGCGCTATCAGCTGTTAGGACGCCTTATCAGCGGTCCGTGTTGTTCGGTCGTTTTTTATTCAAAATATATAGTATGTACCTGTTGTCGTAGTTTTATACAGTTTAGTTTAAGTTTTTTTTGGAAAGTTATCATTTGGAATCCCCAAATTATGGCATTTCTAAGAAAAAAAGCTGACAAAATGACGAAAATTACCGATTTTTAAATTTGTAAATTTTTTGGGGATATCCCCCATTTACGAAGAACGATGGAAACTTTATCAATTATTGAAGGCACCATCGCTATCAACGTTGCTAGTTTTGATGTCCGAGGACCATGTCAGACACCGCGTCGCCGACAACATCGAAAGTGCCTCGATATTATGCGAACATTATAATTAATTGCGTTTGTCTTTTCGGTTTTGTTTTTTAAATTATCTGTTGTTATTTATTAATATTAAACGATCCACGGATCTTTAATATTAATAAAAGTGTCAATTATAATTTCAAATTTATCTATGTATTCTTCAGATAGTTATAGTCATTTGAAATCGCTAAACAAATAAAAAACTGACATTTTCAACAATCGTAATTTTGATAAATTTTCGTAAATGTAAAATTATATATTGTATGTATTTATATTAAAATAGTTTTTTTATAAAACAAAGCAGATGTATAATAATAATAATTTATGGATTTATTTTTACTTACAAAAGACAGAATTATTTGAAATCTCAAATACATCATTTTTTAAAAAGTGATTGACCTACAAAAAAGATTTCTTTATTTTTTTATTCTAAAAAAATTATAATATTAATATTTCTTAAAAACTAGTAAATAAAAAAATATTATAACACTTATGACAACTTTTTAGAAAATTTCATATATATTTTGAGCACGTGTGGGTATAACCTTTACTGTTGTATATATTATACGTAAGAGGCAAGGGAATAACACAGATTAATATTTGACCTTAACAAACGTCTAAAAATTCTTATGTCTAAATATTATCATAGTTTTCTGAGATATAACACAAAAAGTTAAAATCAGTTCATCAGATGTAATATATTAAATATAATATATATACAAATATTCATATTATGAATATTTTGGTCATAACATCTTAAAAACAAGATAAATATTGTTTATCTATTTTAATGCATATAACATAACATTTTATAGATAAATATTTTAACTTTAATTTGTTTTTGGATTGGTGGTTTCTCTTCTAAAATGAAAAATAGTTCAACATTAATAAATAGTTATCCTACCAGGTTTTGACATCTTTCATAACTATTGATCTAGTGAATATTTTGCGTTAATTTTTTTTAATGGTTTTCACAGTTTTTACGTTAAAAATATATTTTTAACTTACTTGTTAGTCTAAAACTGTAAAAATTATTAAAAAATAAAACTAACGCAAGTATTCACTGAATCAAATGTTATAAAAGATGTTAAAATCTGGTGAGACATCTTGTATAATCCTATAACAAAGATGCACAANACTACAATTTTATGATAAATTGGGTTTTAGAAATAATTTACTGCATCCATTTAAAAAGGCATAATAAATATATTTTTCTTAAATAGAATTTTTTTAAAATTTATCATTTAAAAATAATTTTCATTTTACATTATTTGTAATATTATGTTTAATGATATTTTAAGTTTATTAATACCATATATTTTTTATTTTTTGAATACGTTTTGACCAAATATTCGTTTAACACGTTGTAATTATTTGTAACATTTCTCTACTCCGCTTAAAATAACTATAACCTTACTATTGGCGTATCTGAGAGATTAAAGAGCAAAGTTCTCTTATTGAATCTTTAAAACTTATATCTAAGTTTAAAAATCTTCATAATTACAAAAAATTACTTCAATATAAGCCACTCTCATTTAAATATTTTGCTATGCTATTGACACTACTTATTAGCGAATTTTGGGGGATGTTTGCATCCACCACTAAGCATATCGAATTTTTATTTATATCATTATATAGTGTTAGTCAACGATATATTTTTGTATATTGATATCGTACCTAATTTAAACAATATCGAAAAATAATAATATTCAAAAATTAAATTCAATATTTAAATGATTTCGCCATTTTTTTAATTTTTAATTGATTTATTATAATTTCAAATTAAATATTATGTGGTAATATTACTTGTTAGTGATGACGTCACGAGGTGATAAGGTCACTAGGAGTATATAAGGGAGTTTTTTTCTAGTTGAGGTGTANTAGTGATGATGTCACGAGGTGATAAGGTCACTAGGAGTATATAAGGGAGTTTTTTTCTAGTCGAAGTGTAAATGTTTGAACGGAACGCCCGGTTATAATATGCGGGTTAGTTACTGTTCGTTTCTGGAGTATTTATATCATGCAGGAGAAAGAATTGGGGAGTGGACTGTATAAATGAGTAAATGTATTGAAAGAATATAAAACAATAAAATGTATTTTAACATAAACTAAAATATTATATATATCAATGTGGGTAGGGGGGTCCTTAATGCTAATACCACAATGCGTCAAATAAACAATTAATAAAAATAAAAATTAGATAAACAGTATGATTAAAAAACTACTTATACGATACTAATGATGACTGGTTTGATGTGGATAAAATGCGAATGAAGTTGTTGGCGTGACAATTGTGCGAGGCAGAACAGACTTTGGTGCGAATAGTACTTCAAGGTGTACGAATTTAATTCTCAATGCGCGGATCGCAAGGGCGATAAAAATAACGCACAAGGGTGCGACAATCGCAAGGGCGATATATAGTGTCTTTAACAATTACGTGCTCGCAAGCACCGTAAAAGCATAAACAAAACGAGTTAGGATGGTGACGACAGACGCAAAATCATAAAAGAAGACCAACGGTAA